TGCTGGTCTCACCCCATGTTGACCCAAGTGCTTAATGCATTTACCCTAGCATTACCGTCAGAGGGGTGCAGCAGGCCCATATCTCCTTCATATTTAAAACATAATCTGAGGCTGGGAAGGTGGCTCAGTGGTAGAGCGCTTGCCTCGCAGGTATGAGGCCCTGGGTTCGATTCCTCAGCACCACATAAGAAGAAAAAGCCGAAAGTGGTGCTGTGGCTCAAGAGCCTTGAGCTGAAGAGCTGAGGGACAGCAGCGAGGCCCAGAGTTCAGCCCCCACGACCGACAAAATAAAAACAACATAATCTGCAAATCAGGTGCCTGTAATACTTGCTACTCAGGAAACTGAGATTTGAGGACTGAAGTTCAAGCTTAGCCCAAGCTGCGAAGTCCATAGATTCTGATCTCCAAAAACTCAGAAGTGCAGCTGTGGCTCAAGTGGTACACTGCCAAGCTCGAGTGAAAAAGCTCAGGGTTACCACCCAGGCCCTGAATTCAGTGGCGCACATGCATGTGTGCACATGCACACACACACACACACACACACACACACACACACACACATGTGTGTGTATGTGTATATATATATATGTACATATATATTTATATATATGTACATATATAACTACAGGTGAAAACTTATGGCTGCAGCTTCTCTATGAAGTTGGGCAGGGGAAACAGTGGATTGGATGTTGTAGGAAAGATGTATGAGTTTCCTATGGGCCAAATAGAAGTGAATCTTGGAGTTCTGCTAGAGGAAACATCAGAAGCATGAGAATCTTTCATGATTTTCCAAAGCCCATCAGTGTCTTGTGATAGACCTGAGCTGTTGAGGGTGGGACATAACGATAGCTTACAAATGCATTTTCTGGAAATACAAAATACAGAGGTGCCTGACTCAGGCAACCAAAGAGTTCTTGATCAAGTCAAATACCAGTAGCTCACACCTGTAATCCTAGCTATTCTAGAGTCTGAGATCTGAGGCTCATGGTTTAAAGCCAACCCAGGCAGACAAGTCCATGAGACTCTTATCTCTAGTACAAAGAACTTTTCCATGTGTGCTAAGCTAAAGAAGAGCAATGCCAGTATTTTCCTTCTGCTTTGCTTTCTTCCTTTTGTATCTTTCATGTCTGAGAGATGGTGATGGAGAAGAAGCAAAGAAAGATCCTTTCTATGGTGTCCTAATTTTTCAGCATAAAAGACTACATCAGCATTCAGTTGAACATGGTGCACATTGTATAAAACCATTTTTGACACTTTCTGGACCTATTTTCTTTTCTTACTTAGAAAGAAATCAAAATTACCAAATATTTTCATTCTTCCCTAAGTACTAGATTCAAATGTCTAACTCTAGAAGAATTCTGATTTGGTATTATATATGCATATTGGGAAAAGTACTTCTTTTTTTTGTCAGTCATGGAGCTTGAATTCTGGGCCTGGACACTGCCCCTGAGCTCTTCAGCTCAAGGCTAGCATTCTACCACTTGAGCCACAGTACCACTTCTGGTTTTCTGAGTGGTTTATTAGAGATAAGAGTCCCATAGACTTTCCTGCCCATGCTGGCTTTGAACCATGATCCTCAGATCTCAGCCTCCTGAATAGCTAGGATTGAGCCACCAGTACCCGGCAAAGTGCTTCTTTTTTTATAAACATTTCACAGTTCTTCACTGAATTAATGATTAATAACCTGCCAAAACATCCAGAGAGTTTCCCTGGTAAAAGCTGCAAAACATTGAAGGAACAAATGACACAAATTCTCTACAATCTGATCCAGAAAATAGAAGCACATTTTGTAACTCACTCTGTAAAAGCCAGCCCAACTATCTAAAGATAGTTCAACAAAGGAAAAACCACAGACCAATCTCTCTTATGCGTATGATTGCAAAAATCTGTAACATCATATTAGCAAATCCACTCCAACAATGCACAAAAATTATATACCATAGTTGTATATATAAGATTAATCCAGGTATTCATGTGAAGATGAATTGATAGAATAGACTAAGGAAGAAAAATGTATTATTAGACAATGCATGCAGAAAAAACCACTTGATAAAAATCCATTCATGTTAATGCTCAGAAAGGCGGAAAAGAGAACTTACTCTACTTGATTAAAAAAATTTATTAAAGACATACCATTAGTACACTTAATGATAAGACATAGTATACTCTCCCCCTAAGACAGAGAACAACAAAAAGATGTTCTCTTGCTCTCTTGACCTTATTGAAAGTCTTAGTTAATGTAACAAAACAAAAAGGGAAATTGTAAGTATATACATTGGGAAAGGATAAATGTGACCTGCCTTTGCTTGAAAATGGCATAATCATCTAAGTGGGAAATCCCAAAGGATAAGCAACAAAAACAAAAAATAACTCTTTAGAACAAATAAGCTATTATGACAAGGATTCATAATGTGGGACTATTATACAAAAATCGCTATCTTTTTTATAACCTAACAGCAAATGATTGGACTTTGGAATTTAAAGCACATCATTTTCATTACCATCAAAATTGAAATAGGATATGTACTCTAACAAATTGCATGTAAGAATGTCTGTGTTAGGAAATGTACAAAACTATAAGGAAAGGAATAAAAAAGACACAAATGAAGAGTTATTCACAGGTGGAATGAATAAATATTCTCTATGATTTCCAACCTTAACTGTAATTCCACACAATCCTCACCAGTTTTAACAAGTTATTATTTAGATATCAATAAACTAAAGTCTTTTTTTGTTTTGTTTTTTTGTTTTTTGTCTGTCGTGGGCTTGAACTCTGGGCCTGGGCACTGTCCCTGAGCTCTTCAGCTCAAGGCAAGTGCTCTACCTCTTGAGCCACAGCGCCACTTCTGGTTTTCTAGTGGTTTATTGGAGATCAAAGTCCCATGGACTTTTCTGGCCAGGCTGGCTTTGAACCAAGATCCTCAGATCTCAGCCTCCTGTGTAGCTAGGATTACAGGCGTTAGCCACCGGCGCCCGGCTAAACTAAAGTTTTTATGAAAGTATTTTTAAACCCAGAATATGAACATAATATTGAAGACTATAAGCCAGGCGTTGGTGGCTCGGGCCCGTAATCCTAGCTACTCAGAAGGCTGAGATCTGAGAATCGCAGTTCAAAGCCTGTCCAGGTAGGAAAGTCTCTGAGACTCTTACCTTCAATAAACCACTGGAAAACGGGAAGTGGCGCTGTGGCTCAAGTGGTACAGCACTAGCCTTGAGCTTCAGAGCTGAGAGCCAGAGCCCAGGCCCAGAGTTCAAGCCCCACGACCAACGAAAAAAAAAATTGAGGACTATCATAGAAGTAATAACAAACAATACCTGACTTACTATAAAGTAGTAATAATGCAGACAGTACAGTGAGGAAAAGACAAGCATAGATAAATGAATAAGGAGACCTACACAATGTACTCACTAGCTTAAGTATGTAACTGTAACCCCACTGTACATCACATTGACAATAAAATTAAATTTAAAAATGTAAATATAAAAAATAAATACTGCAAACTTATTATTTACAATGACTATTCATAGTGTGGAAGCAATCAAGATGTCCTTTAATGGTAAACAATGGTAAACAAACTGGTACATTCCTACAATGTAATATTATTCAATCATGTGAAGAAAAGAATTCGCAAATCATTTGAGGATTTTGAGTAACCTGAAAAGTATGTCTCTAAGTGAATGAAGCTGAAAATGTACCACTCTATCTGACATTCTCCAATATACAAAATTAAGAAAACAGTAAAATATCAATGAATAGTTTCCTAGACTCAAGGGGAATGGAGATGGATATGTGGAACCAAATACATTTGTAGAGCAGTAAAACTATACTCCATCCACTCTCCAGTGGAAACACAACATTATGCTTTTGTGAAGCCCCATAGAACTGTAAAAATAAAGAATGAGCTGTGATGGAAGCTATAGAGTTTTCTTACTAGTAAAATATCTATATTTATCCATCAGTCCTAATTAATGGGCCATACTAATAATGCAGGACATTTTGTGGGATGATAGTGGAGATGACAGAGAAACTTTTTATACTTTCTGCAAATTTTTGTAAAAATCTAAAAATATGCAGATGGGGAAGTTCCACTGCTGTAGGAGAAAACTAGAGTCTCAAAATAAGATGCTGGTTTAGTATAGAAGGTAAAACTTTGAGAGCAAGGGTTAACAACAGCATACGACACACACACACAAAAATAATGAAACTGCCTACCAGTAAAGAATAAATGATGGGCTGGCAGGTGGCTCAGTGGTAGAGTGCTTGCCTCGCTTGCTTGAGGCCTTGGGTTTGATTCCTCCATACCATAAAAGCAGAAAAAAAGCCAGAAGTGGTGCTGTGGCTCAAGTGGTAGAGTGCTAGCCTTGAGCTAAAGAGCTAAGGAACAGCACCCAGGTCAAGAGTTCAGTCCCCACAACCAACAAAAAAAAAGGAGTAAATGAACTGGGATCTCGTAGAGTGATATGAAGAAACAAAGGATGGGACAACACAGAAAGGCAAGAAGATTCAAGAAAAGTGATGTCTAATATTCAAAATCAAGATTTGTAAAGTTCTTTTTATATAATCTCATGTGCACTTGGCCAAAATTAAAGTCAGACAAACATTCTGAGATGATAGATGATAGATACAGTGGATAGATCATACATACATACATACATATACATATATACATACATACTCATATAGGCCAGATATGATGGCACATGCCTATACCCAAGAAGCATGAAACAGGAGGATGGAGAGTTCAAGGCCAGCCTGTGATATGTAGCAATAAACCCTATTTCAACTAGAAAAATAAGTACATAAAGGAAGTCATTGGTTCAAGAAATAAAACCAGATATGCCCCTGGTGACAAACCCATATATTTACTTATCCCCTCAAAATTAAGAGAAATATTTGAGGCAGCCTTTGAATATCCATAAAGCACAGAAGAAATGTTGGGCCAAACTTCTGTCTGATGTAGGTTCCTGCTGACATTTGAGTAATACTTCAAATTACTCACCTGTGTGTTGTGTCATCTTCACTTTCTTTGCTAAGTAGACAGTGTTCACTTGGGTCTGCATATGGATCCTCTTTAGATAAAGACTTTACTTTTGTGGTTTCCTCTTGACACTCACTTTCCATTAAATCCATATTTCCTTTAGGTGGAGCAAGACTGCTCTCAATATGCCAATGCTTTGCCTGAAAAAAATCAATTTTATTTCTATAACATTTATTCCTACCATTTATTTCCCCTCCATCTTTGCTAACATATTGTTTTGTTTTCTTGATGATTACTATTGTGATTGACCTTGCTATACTACTCACAGGAATGTATCTGTAGAACTTTGTCAGAATAAAAGAGAGAAACCCACAAGTTTATCACAGTTCTATCCACAATAGCTAAGCTGCCAAATCAGCCTAGGTTCCCAACAACCAATAAACAGATAAAGAAGATATAGTATTTATAGACCGTGAGATATCACTCAACTATAAAGAAGAATAAAGTATGTCATTTCCTGAAACAGAAAGTCATTGGTTGCATGAAATATATCAAGCTCAAAATGCCAAATATCCCATGTTTTCACTTAAATGTAGAAGCTAGACTTGAAAGGAAGAGGAAGAGGTAGAGAAAAAAGAGGAGGAGGAAGAGGAAGAGGAGGAGGAGGAAAAGGAAGAGGAAGAAGGAGGAGGGGGGAACATGAATGTAAAAACCTATCAAAAACACTGAAAATAGGATGAAGGGGGAAAGTGAAGGGAATATACTAATGGATATAAATTTGTTCAAAGTACACTGAAATTATCATAATGAAACCCCATTGCACTATTAAAGTAAACTAACAAAAAACAGAAAAATAAAATAAAAATTTCAAATTTTATGTATTTAAATAATGGTGTTTATTTATTTAAATTAGTGTTCATGTAAATCATTTAAATTTACTTTTAAGCTATTATTAAATCTACCATAAATAGATTCCTTTGCTGTAAACTTACCATAAGCCCACATATGAGATCATTAACTCTTAGCGATTTGTACGTAAATAACTAAGGCAGGATTCTTAAGGAATTTTACAGTCTTGTAGGGGACATGAGTCATATGTAACACATATATAAGTATGTAGCATATGTCTACATTTAATAAATGTATATAATGAGAAGTGGCATAAGAAACAAAATGAACAATAAACTAGAAAAGATTATTTTTATTTCTACTTTAAAATCATGAGTAGCAAAATGTGTAGTTACTAAAAACCAAAACAAACTTTTATTAAAGAACTCCAGGACTTTTTCCTACAACTACTTTGTTTGCATTCTACTTCCTAAAAAAAATCCTGAAAAGAACTGTGCAATTATTGATTTTGTTATAAAAGTGTGCTATATAATCATTTTCACAGAAGTTTGCCTACACAGCAAATGTATCCATCTAGTTAAAAATCCCCATTGACAATCGGTTCTATTTTTCAAATACAAGATCAATTTCCTTGTCATATATTGCTCGTGTTGTACTCACAGGTTGAACACAACTTTTATGATATGAGCAAAACATAAGGCATCCTGAAGATATTTGACTACATTACAGATTGCTCAATGTTGTCCTAAAGGTTTACAATACTAAGTGCTTATCAGAGCCAAGGGGAAATAAAGGTCAGCAAATGAAATGAACCTCATATCCAATAATAAATAACAAAAGAAATTCAGTCTCTTGTTAGTATCCAACCGAGGAAAAGAGGAATGTCCTGCATCCCATGAAACCAGGTTGATGGAAACGAGGTTTTTATGGCATAGGAACTCCCAGTTACACTGGTACCCGGAAGCTGGTACTGAACATGATGATGTGGAAAGACGTTGGGCAAGTGTTAAGAGATAGAACCTAGAGGGAGGTGTGTAACATAAGGAGGTAGCAGCCCTCAGAACGGATTCAGTACTGAGCTATTTTCCATGAAAGCAAGCCTGGCTCTTGCCAACTCTCCTTCCTCCTACCCTACCATCTCCTCCTCTTCCACCCTCCCACAGCTAAGATGCCATCTTCCCTGTGAGTGCAGCTCAAAGTGCCTCTCCAGCATGGGTCATTGTGTCAGACACCATTTGTGAACAGGAAATGGTTGCATGCAGAGACCATAGATTCCATGGGAGAGTGATATGTTCTTTTCCAAAGGAAGCAAGAAATCTGGATCTTTCATGATTTTTTTAAAATTTAAATCATATTTTCAACACTGGGTGGAGAGAGACAGCCATTCCTAACCACCACATCAATTGGATGAGAAGAGGTACCACTGCCCAAACTGCCCAGTAGGACAGAATTTAGAGCTGGAGGAAAACTCTAGTTTCTAATTTCTTCTTATCCTACAATCATCTGATAGTTTCTTTGAATAAATGTGTATTTGTGGACAAAATATTCTCACCCCTCTTTTGCCAGCTCTAGAAATAGGCATGCCAGAACACTTGGGAAAAAACTAACTTGAAAACTAGCTGAAGATCAAAAGCTATCCTTCAAGTGATTGAAAGGTAGTTCTAAAAAAATCTTGCATGAACTACATGACATTATATTATACTAACTCTTCCACATTTTAACAAGATTGCAGAAAATTAAGTCTTAATATAAGAAATTAAAATATATTATTGCCTCCTCTCATGTTATTTTATATCTACTAGACCAATGGTAATTTAACTGAAACATAAATGCTACATTTAAATGTCAGAAGAGTTTCTATTTATCCTTTCCTCTTCCCTTTCTTCCCTCATCTTTCCTCCGCTTCCCTTCCCTTCTTTTCCTTGTCTTGCCTTCTCCTCCCCTCCCTTCTCTTCCCTTCCTTTTTGTCCACCGTTCCCTCCTCTCTTCTCTTCTCTCTTGAGACAAATAGCATCCATTTTCAAGGCACTTGAATTTTTGAAAAAAGAAAAGTGACTCCTTCAAAAGAAACCGTAAGCCAAAGGGATGAGAAAGCTCCATTTCCCTTATGTTTGCCGTCTTTGCCATCTTTTCTAAAACTGGCCCGGTTCTGGTGGCTCTTTTTCTGTCCTAAACAAGGAAGAAGGAAATAAGATATATGGATTTGTGAAGATTTGGAAAGACTGAAGTCCTAGCAAGAACAAAGGGATCCAAACAGGGAAAGAAAAAGTAAAACTCTCCCTCTTTGCAGATGACAAGATCCTGTATTTAAAAATCCCCAGAGATTCCTTCCACCAAGTTACTTGAGCTGATCCTAAACTTTGGCAAAGTAGCAGGGTATAAAATCAACCTACAAAAATCAGTAAATTTTCTGTAAGCCAGCAATAAGGAGAGAGAAACTGAAATCAGGAAAGCAATATCATATCTAATAGTCTCCAAAAAACAACAACCTACTAATTAAGCAAAGATATAAAGGATCTCTATTGCAAAAACTTTAAAAATCTGAAAAAAAATTGAAGCAGAATTAAGAAAATGAGAAAGCCTTTAATGATCCTGTATTGGAAGAATTAACATTAAAATGGCAGCACTGCCCAAAGCAATTTGCAAACTCAATGCAATATCCATCAAAATCCCAACAACACTCTATACTGACATAGAGAAAACAATCCACAAATTCATTTGGAATAACATACGAACCTGAATCAAAAAAAAAATCCTAGGCAGACAGAACCTTGTTGAAGGAGTAGCAATACAAACTTCAAACTCTATCACAAAGCCATAGTAATAAAAACAGCTTGGTACTAGCACAAGAATAGGCCAAAGGACCAATGGAACGAAATGAACCCACAAACCTATAGCCACCTAATATCTGATAGGGGAGCCAAAAGAACAGGATGGAAGAAAGACAGCCTCTTCAATTCTACTAGTAGAATTGGCTACACATATGCAGAAAATTGAAGCTAGATGCCTATATATCATCCTCCACCAGATTCAATTCTAAGTGAATCAAATACCTCAATGTAGCGCCAGATACTATAGAAATATTACAGGCAGGGATAGGGTCAACTTTAGGGCTCCTACACATAGCTTGAAACTTCCTAAGTAAAGATTCAGAATCACAACAAATGAACGTAAGGCTAGAATAATGGGATTGCATCATACCAAAGAGTTTCTGCATAGCAAAGGACATATCTAACAAGAAAAATAGAAAGCCCACAGAATTGGAGATTTTTATCAGCTATGCATCAGACAAGGGCCTCATATCTAAAATATACTTAGAGCCAAAAAATTAAACCCCTCAAAAATAAACCCTCAAAGAAACACCTACCCAACTGATAAATGGACTAAAGACTTAAAGAGAGACTTCTCAGAAGAAGTAAGAATGACCAATAGACATGTGAAGAAATGCTCAACATCTCTGGCCATAAAAAAAAATAAAATAAAAGCCAAAACAACATTGAGCTTCCACCTCATGCCAATTAGAATGGCCATTATCAAGAAAACTAACAATAACAGATGCTGGCAGGGATGTGACCAAAAGGGAATGCCACTACATTGTTCGTGGGAATGTAAACTCATTCAACCACTCTGGAAAGTAGTCTAGAGGCTCTTCAAAATACTAAATATAGAGCTCCTCTATGACCCAGCAATCCCACTCCTGGTCATTTACCCAAAGTACCATAAACAAACCCACACTAAAGCTACCAGCACAACCATGTTCATTACAGCATTATTTACCATAATCAAGATATGGAATCAACCCAGATATCCCTCAGTGGCCAAATGAATCAAAAAAATATGTGATATATACAGGATGGAATTCTATGCTTCCAACAGAAAGAATGATACTGTACCATTTGTCAGGAAAAGGAAATACTTGGAAAAAATTATACTAAGTGAAGCAAGCCAGACCCAAAGAAAGATAGGTTGCATGCTTTCCCTCATTTGTGGTAAATAGAATGTGGCTATAAATCTACAAGTAAACAAAGTGGATGATAAAAAAAATGTCTACACCAAGACCTGATAAATTATATAGGTCTCTAGGCATTCACACAAAATAAGAGATATTCTTAGGAGAGGATCACATAGGCACAATAGCTATGTGCTTCTGACTCTATAAAATAAAAATTATTGAAATGAAGTCCAAGAAGTAGAAACAAAAGTTTTTTTTTATTTTGTTGTTGATTTTGTTTTCATTTCCTTCTGTCTTGTTTGTTGCTTTGTCAGTCTTTGTGAGGGAGGAGGAGGCACAGTGATACTGACTAGATACTATGTTGAAAATGAACTAGACAACATGTGGGTAGGGAAGGGAGGGAAAAACTGGGAGAGAGCGGGCAAAGGAATGACACTGTTCAAAAGGAATGTACTCACTATCTGACTTATGTAACCTCTATAATAAAATGCCCAAATATTTCTGAAAATTAATAAAAATCAATCAATAAAATAAAGACAGTAAGAACTATTGATGAGAAATATCAATGGTGCAAAAGTGAGCAACTCCACTAACACATTTTCTTAATGAAAATGCAGTTAGCTGCAGATGGCATTTGGCAGGCATAGTTTATTTGGCATGCCTACCTAGGATGGGCATATTTCTTACTTCAACCCCATCTAAGGGACTTATACCCAGACTTTAGCCCCTTCAGAATGCTGCCTCTCTTTGTCTGTCACTCAGTGTTGTCCTTCATCTCACCAGCATCCTTGTGCTCATCTGGTAACATCTACAGTGCATGGGCTTCTTCAGTTGCCAAAGCAGGCTTTCAAATTCTATTCTATTTAAACCAACAGGCATGAGCCACCCATCTCACCCACTGCACATCCACCCACACAGCTGCTGTCCTTACTTAGAAAAGTCTAGCATTTGCCTTACTTGCACTCATACAGGCCACACGAGGTACAGTGGTGATCCCACATTGCTCAGACCTACATGAGTTCACCTACCCAGATTTTCTGACTTATCTTCACCCTAAAGAGTTGCCCAGAATTGTTTCCATATGTGTGGATATAGGATATCATCACATTGGCACAGAGCAATAACCAAGGATATCTTCCCGCAGTACGAGAGCTGCCATATTCCCCCAGAATGAGATTAAAACCTATGGCTACTGAAAGGAACCGACACAGGTGGGGACACTAAGAGGGGCTTTGCCTTAAACCCACACCACCATGTCTGAACTCTCCTGGATAAAACTACTGAGACATAGATTGCTTTCTCAGTACAAAAGGAACTTGGGCAGAGCTCCCAAGGAAATAAAAAAGTGGGGGAAAATTATAAAATGTGAGATCATGAATATTTCCTTTTTCCAGCCCCTCCACTACCCAATTTATTTCACAGAAACAAGTTCTAGCTTAATTTCATGTGAGCAAGGGGTGGGATCTGAAGTGGGCTCAGTAGGTTGGAAGTCCAGCTCTGCCACCAAGATTTCCTTCCCAGGCAAGTTCCTCAAATTCTTCATAATTCTGCTTTATCTTAACATAGAAGCAATGGGAGTACACCCTGCCCCCTTGACAGACTGAGAAATTGTGAAAATTAAGAGAGTAAACTCATGCAAAGACCTTAAATCATCCAAATACATAGGGGAAAACTTAACAGATGTTGCCTGTCATTAATTTGGCAGATGCAAATGACCAAGAAGATTTATTTTAATTTAAAATGTGCTACATTTGATTATTACTGTTACTATTACCTGATATTTACCACATGGTTGCCAGGCACTAGCTCCCTAAACCCTATCTCGAAACAACAAATTGAGCATGCCAGCAAACACTACTCCAGAAGGAGAGATTTGAGGATCAGGGTTCAGAGCCAGACCAGGTAGGAAAAATCCATGAGACTCACCTCTAATTAACCACCAAAAAGCTGGAAGGAGAGATGTAGCTCAAGTGGTAGAGTGATAGCCTTGAGCAAAAAAGGAACAATGCTCAGGCTCTAAGCTCATTATTACTACCAACAGTAATATAATTATTACTAATAATGATAAAGAATCTTTATCCACGTGGATTTGAAATGGAAGGAATTCATTTCTTTTCAGACACTACCTTGGGCTGTGCATGGCCACCATATTTCCACATACCTAGAGAGACCATCAGGAAAGAAAGTCAGTCCTCTCAGGACCACTGAACATTAACCACTGATAGATGCAAGCAGAAAGCGGCCATGGTCATGGGGAATATCCAGCCAATCAGAGAGTAATCAAGAAGCCACATCTCTACCTGACCAAAGATCAGAACAGGCACATCGCCAAGCCCCGTCATGCAGACACTGCAGTCGGCAGAAGAAGAAATGACCAGCACATGGCCACCGGCCTCACATATCTCCACGGAGCTTACTCTGTCTTCATGAGGTTGCCATGATCTTATCAGAGGTGGAGTCTGTGTAATTTTCTTCTTACTGGAATGAAGACAGTACTCCTGAGGGGAAAGAAATACCAGGACTTTAAAAACTCAACTATTAAAGCGACTATAATGATATAACAAGAAGACCAAAATGAAAAATATGTACATTTGGAGCTCATTAATCTATGATCTACATGCAAAAGAGAATTCATGATAGCAGAGGTTACAACAATGGCATTAACATTTTATTTATTTTTTTAAAGCCTTCTTAGAGATGGAGATGGGAAGATTGTAGTTCTAGGCTAGCTCAGAAATTTAAACATGGTAAGACCCTATGTGAAAAATACAAGCTGAGCATGGTGACACACAACTATAATGTCAGCTACTCAGGAGGTAAAGGTAGGAAGCTCATGGATTAAGAAAGACCTTCTCACTGACTTTATGGATTTAGGAAGTGGAAAGAAGAAAGAGAAGAGAAAGAAAATGAGAACAAAATAAATAAACAGTAAAGTTTATGTTGCCATGTATAGACTATAAAATATTATGTAATTTATAATGTTATTTGAAAATTGAGCAGGGATGCAGTGATTTAATAAACAACTAATTCAGAATGGCAGCAATGTTAGATGAACAGCAAGTAGTCTAAATTATATTTTCATCTTAATTTCAAGTAAAGATATAATTATTTACATTCAATTAATGCTCTAGTGCCAAACTGTATTCCTCAATTTGATGTCTGATTTGACTATATATTAGTATGTTTTCAGTTTAGAAGAATTCTGGCTTTTTCCATCAATTATTTAAAAGAAGTCTCTATTCAAAACCTGAACATGCTCTGCTGACAGGAAGCAACAATGCTTGATAAGGAATGTACTCATTACCTTGTTCATGTAATTGTGACCCCTCTGTACAGTATTTTCACAATAAAAAAATTAATAAAAAAAGAAAATACTCAAGACAGACCATTTCTTCCTCTATCTAGAAAACAGACAAGGCTCAATTTGTACAACCAGATTCGATCTTATTAGACACGTGTTCAAAAAGCAAGAAAAATAATAATTAGGACAATGTGAGAACTTCTTCAATTTACCTCTATATTCCAGATTTTCAGCCATCCATCAGAGGCCCCAGTGGTAAGGTATTTGTTCAGTTTATCAATAGACATAATAATGGATCCAGTTCCACCATGAGCCAAAAACTCAGCCAGAAGTTGTTTCTTATATGTGTCCCAGAATCTCACAAAGCCAGATCCTCCACAAGATACCAAGGTGGCTCCTTCTAATGAGGAAGGAAAAACCTAATTTGGAAACTATAACAGCAGCGTCCAGAAACCATTTCCTCATGTGATTTGGCCTGTGAAAAGCATATGATACTGGCCAGGTGAGTAGCACTGCGATATACTTTTAGCACTGCTTTGGATCTGAAAAACCATGCAGTAAAGATAACTACATGATAAACTCACTGGACTGTGTGGAATGAGAATGTGCAAGATGTAACAGAAAAACTAGGGATTTTCCCACCTCACTCATTATTATGGTTATTGGGGGTTGTTGTTGTTGTTGTTTGTTTCTTCTGTTTTGTCCACCGTGGGGCTAGAACTCACATCCTGGGCCCTGTCCCTGAGCTTTTTCATTCAGGGCTAGTGCTCTACTACTTTTGAGCCACTTACAGCTTTTTCTGAGTAGTTTATTGGAGATAAGAATCTCAGACTGGCTTTGAACCACAATCCTCATATCTCAGCCTCCTGCGTAGCTAGGATTACAGGCGTGAGCCACCAGCGCCTGGCTATTTGGTTTTGTTTCTGTTTTGTTTTGTTTTTAAGCTAGACGGAATTAATTTACTCCTCCAATAATTTGTATTAATGTATTGCTTGCAGTATTACTTTTCTTCCCTAGCAACCTGTTGGACATACACACAAAGTGAAAACCTTAATGAAACAACTTAAGATTCAGACATGTGATAATAGTAGGATAGCTACAGATTTCTTGGTTGGGCAACATATTTTCAACCCTGTTTCTGTGTTTTGTCTTAAGTGTTTCATTGGGATTTTATTGTAAGCCTTATTGGACTTTTTTTATTAATAGATCTAGAACTGACCTTTTTACCTTCCATTTTGATATGCTCTGTAAAAACACTTTACCTAAATTATTCTGTCCCTATTATTTGATAAACCTGTAGATGACTTTCTAATTTACTTCACAAATGTCTCAACGATTAAGAATCATCTCTATTTAAGGTAGAAGTAATGGTATATAGCTGCATCTGTGGAAACGATTTGAGAATACTGATAACATTAAGAAGAATTAGCGTACAAGAAATGAGAGTAATTTAAGTATAATGACTTATATTGTGAGTACAAAATGAGTTCAAGAAAATTGAGAGTTTTACAATCGAATGGTTACAAGTCCATTTAAATAGACCATAATGTTTCTAAAGCTAATAGAGATATACCTTTATTGATGACAAACATTTTCAAGTGGCTATACCATGATTTTCCTTTTCCAAGTTAAATATAGGAAAGTGAAGATAGAAAACATGATTCAGATATGTTTATTTCTTTTATTCGAATATATCGCACATATGTCTAGATCTCCAATGTGAAAATAGAATAATTTTAAATTTTAAAATACAACTCAGATAGTTCCTGCAATATGCATTCGTGTGTATGTATGTGTGTGCACGCACATGCATGTGTACTAGGGCTTGAACTCAGGGCTTCATACTCTCCCCCAGATTTTTTGTTCAAGGTTAGTACTCTACTATTTGAGCCATATTTCTACTTCAAGACTTGTTGGCCTAGATTGGCTTCAAGTCTTGGTTTTCAGATCTCAGGCTTCTGCATATCTACAATTATAGGCATGAGCCATACCAGTGGCCAGCTAATATGCATTATTCTTGAACATGGATTATTCTTGAACATCGATTTTTACTGGAGGGAACATGCAGGCTACATCAGCAGTATACTAATACAGTGGTTATAAAAAGAGGAAAAAAACTAAACAAAGGCTTACTTCGTCTACATAACAGCCAATTCCTACAGTAAGTCCTCACTTACTGTAGAAATCACATATAACTGACAAAGATGCACAGACCATTGCTAAAGCAACATCCAGGACAGAGGCCTCTGAGCTCTAGTTCAGGGATCAGCAGTTATTTCAAAGTCTTCCACTGTCTCTGATCTGCAAGCTCTTCAGTATTTTCTCTTGGCCCATTTTGAGACCAAGTTCCAGTAGAGCCAGCCTCAGATTCTGAATCATATATTGGCAGCAGGTACCCAACTGTGCACTCTAAGCTACTAAAACTCACCTCTATGTGAAGATTGGAACACCAATTTTCAATTATTTCTCAAATGGAACATTTGTTAGAATTCTTCCCACTCTGTTCTTGACATATGTAACCCCAGGTAAATTATCAGTCAGAGGCAATCTGTCTCTTGCTCCTTCTCCTCCACCTTAATCGCCTATGGTGAGACCCCAGGGCCTCTCATGAAACAGGATTGGCCTGAGAGACACACGGAGTCAAATGCTAAGAGACCTCTGCAGACAAAAATAGATTCACCTTTATTGTTCCCTTTCCCAAATAGTCAGGTAAAAAATCCATCTATATAGTTTACCTGTGGTGGCAGTGTGTTTCCTTGATTCCAGGAAGCAAAGCCTCATCACTGCGTTATTGCCCTCCGTGTCAGCATCAAAGTTTTGAGGAGCCTGGTGTGCAATGGGGTGGGTGAAACAGCTCTCCTCAGCACCGAGAAGACTTTGAGGTTTTTTATCTGTGATGAAGACAGTCAGATGTCTAGATGAAGAGATTTGCCCGCTGTTTCAACCACGGCCAGGGCTGAATGGGCCAGTCCCACAGAAGCCCGGCAGATGCCTCCACCAGCCCTGCTCAACTCTCTTCCTAAGCCCCAATCTGAAGGACCAGTCAACTCCATGTTTTTCTTGCACATTCCATATACACTGCCTATGTTCTTCCTGGGTATGAATCAAGAGGGATGTCACATCATATTTATTGCTAATAGCACAGAGATTGTGGTATACTCAAGAAGAATGAGCTTTTAATACCACGGCATTTCCAGATTATTGCTCATTAGTGTTCATCTTGAAAATATGGCAAGGAACATAAAACCCAGTCACAATTTTTGTATGCTTATATGATCATTTTTAGAAGTCCTGTTTTTAAGTGAATTATTGTGCAAATACGGTAATGGACAGGAAATGTAATGATTACTTCTATGTGCTTACATGATCATTTTTAGAAGTGCCGTTTGTTAGTGGGCTATTCTCCAAATAATGAATATGAAATCTAATGACTATTTCTATGTACTTATTTCTACGTTCTATTCTCCAAATAATGAATATGAAATCTAATGACTATTTCTATGTACTCATATGATCATTTTTTAAGAAGTGCCATTTGTTAGTGGGTTATTTTAAGGGAGAGGAGGAAAACATTCTTAACAGTGCTTCGACTATCTGTTGATATCATGGCCAAAACTAATGAAAAGTGATATTATTCATTATTCGTATTCTGAGATTATTCATCTGAGAATCTATGAGCATTCTACCCACAGTTATGAAAACTCACCACAAATATATCTTCAAAATTTCAAAGCCAGAAATCTCTAGCACTACTCACTATGTCTTTTTGAAATTTGGTACTGTTTAAGTTTCTTGCTTCTTTATTTCTCTGTCATTAATGCTAGTTACAAGTTGGTGACTGTATAAATACATGGCATTCTCTCAAAGACCAGTGTAGAGAAAGAGGCAGAATGATTTGAGCTGAATCTTAATGGTTAACTTTTTGTACGAGAAACGGGTCAGAGCTTTGTGCCTGCACACAAGTAATCCCTCAAACCCTTAAATTGGTTTTCTTACTCTCAATAAATCTCTTCCTCAGCTTTTATCTCTCCCTCTCCCTCTCTCTCTCACACACACATCTGATAGCTAGTGCTTTTCTAAGGCTGAATTCATTTTTTGAGAGTTCATCCAATTAAGACAACAAAATCTTGCTTCATCAAGGAAAACACAGTCATTACTCACATAAATTAGTCTAAGCAAAAACTTTTTTAGACTCTTAAAAAAACTAAACTAAAAATGTGAAATGCAATTGTCAAGGCAGTTTGCTTAAGTAGAAAATATTCATGTACTCTGATAAACTCCCCTAAAAAGCAATATACTCCTTGTCCCTCACAGGTTTCTGAAGCAAGGAATAATTTAATATTGCCAGGTGGTGGCATAATATTTAATGCCAGCTCTAGAACAGCCAATCAAGGGAATATAGTCTTTCTTTCTACCAAAGGACACCCAAGGCTCACGCAAAAGCAATTTGGCAAGATATATTGTCTAAAACTAAACAAGATAAAAATAAGAAGCCTGTTTAGTGCTATCAGTAATACAGAAATGCCGAGGCAGCATAAAGAGAAGAAATGGCAAGCATGGAGACTTTGCTAAGCCAAGTAAATCTCCAGGTCCTTTGCAGTCAGTGACAAGGAAACAATATTACTGGTCCTCTGCACTTATATCCAATCATGTATAATTTATGAAGCAAGCTGTACTTGATACATGCATAAACAGCTAGGTCTACTGTGGACTGGCTCAGCCCCATTATTTTCATTTCAAACCTGCACTCACCTAATTTGGAGTTGAGCTGTCTCTGGTAATCAGGATGAAGGACATGGTAAGCATTCTCCGTGCTATTATTCCACAGAATGATTTCTCCATCGTAACTCCCTACATGAGCCAGGGCAAAGAATATAAACTGTCAAAAGATGAGCTAGGAAACCCATATAGCAGCAATCAGAGGAAGTCATTACTAACATGTCTTACACAGAGTCTGCCATGTAAGCAGGGCTAGTCTCTATGTGTTGGAGATATGAACAGTAATAACCAGTAGTTTTATTATGTTTAGATCCACGATCTTGACAGTCATCTGTATAGCATATGTATGGAAATTACAGTTATCTCCTTTAATTTTAGAGTCATAAAGCCTTCAGAAATAAATGTTCTACAGTTAAACAACTTACCTTGAAGTCCGTGTTTTGCTATTTGTTTGCTATGGAGGTTTGTGCATGATACTTAACTCTACTTGATGTCATAATTTCCTCCTCTGTAAAGCTGGCTTAATAACTGTATTTATCTTAGAGGGTTGTTCTGAAGAATGGAAAGGATTTAGAATGGTGCTAAGCACATTGTTAATACTGAAATGTTGTTCATCATCATTGTGATCTTATCAGTAAGAAAAGCAAATTTAGTGCTTCTAGATTTCTATTCCTTTCACTATGTGTGTGTTTTCATTCCTTCTGTCCTATATTTTTTTCAGTATTACCTTTTCCAATCCTTAACCTCTCTCTACATAAAGCCCTACCTTACTGTTCTTCTCAGAGAATAAAGTCCAAACAGTGAGGTTGTGGCTAAGCCTGTCCTATAGAGGAAAAATGAAACAATTCCCTCATGTCTGGCCTCAGTAGCTAAAAAAAAAAAAAATATCATAGATCCCTACTGAGCAGTGCCAAAGAGACAAGGGTAGAATCAAACAGAAGAGCTGGAAACGATGTTCTGATGGCATTTTCTTGGGATTTTGGAGCAAAGGAAGAGGAATGTCCACTGAAGTCTATATTCTCCTAAAGAAAGCAACCTCCATAACTCAGAAATTGTCTCCAGGGATTGAAGCTCAATGTCTGGAGTATCATTGCCCCTATGAGTTTGAAATGATTTCTTTGTGTAGTGCTTGAACAAATGTTTTCACATAGAACCAACAGCGTAAGAGGTCATCTGATATAATGGCACACTACAAAACCTTCACAATAATGGCCACACAGCAATTACTGTCTCTGCCACATTCCAGGGGTTGGATGTCCAAAGGCTATAAAACAAATCCAGCTACACAGCTGGTCCTATTAGAAAGCAATACAGTAATTTCTTTTAAAAAAGTGAAAACTTAGATGCACATAAATCAGTGAGTGCTCAATAGTAATACTTAGTTGATATATTATGGGTCTTTTGCTGTACATTTTTGTTTCACTTAATTGATGATATTTTTGGTCCTGTTCTTTTCTTTAAAAAAATTCAGGCTTCAAAATATAAACTTCAGAATTTCATAAAGACTTTTAAAAAGACTTTCAGGATCTTTATGAACTATTTTCTTTGACCAGAGATAGATCATATGGTAATTAATATTTTTTCTAAAATACACCAAAGGTCCTATGAGAGGACTTGCTTTAAAAGCAGGGATTTGTAGATGCTTTGATAAAAACAGCCTTTAACCGACATTATTGTAGCTAGGTTAGTCTAAGGGGTTAATTTGTTACCAGTGTTAAACATCTCAGTTCCATCATGGGAGGATTTGTACCCAGCGGGTATGATGTTTCAGAAAATAAAAACAAAAGTAAATGTCTACCTAAGTGTGCCAAGAAATATGTCCAACCCTTATATGTGTAATGTCTCCTTTAAAACCAACATAAAGGGAAATTATTATCAGCTACCCCAAACCATGATCAGAAATTTAAATAACTCACACAGCACTATGGCATGACTAGTGGTAGTGCCAGCGCGTGAAACTGCATAGCCATGATTGGAGCTGACCATTGTATCTCAGGCCTATGGCCCTAGAAATAAAGACCAAAGGGAGACTAGCATACATGACTGTTTCCTCATGTGTCAGTTAAGGACAGCCTTTTATAAAAAGTGAGTCACTGCAAACCAAGGTCTCCAACCAATTGTACAGTGACTGTTCAATTTACCTGTAGCAAGAGTTTGAGGAGGGGAAAATGCGGCACACAAAATATCGTCATGGTGCTTTGTTCCTCCTTTCCATTCTTCACTTGGAATGGAAAACTGATTGAAGTTCTGGGGTCGAAACACAGTAAGAGCTCTAAGGAAAAGTAGAATTTAACTGAATTTAACATTGGTATAGCTATGGGGTAGCCGTTATTCATTGGCATGGCATGATTTGCATAGCACCTGAAAGATGGTGCTATGCAAAATGATATCACCATTTCCCATGCAGAATACCAAGCTTCCCACCTTGGAATCAATCTCTCATTGATTTTCCTCATTAAATTACAAATATGAAATGTCATAATGTGAATTATTCTTTCACAACCACTAATACCAAGTGTGCTGTATCTACTTATCAGATTTATTACCCATTGCAAAGTTGACCACCATAAGCACTATGAAACTTACAAAGACTTCAGTGGAGACAATAGCAAAACATAATATGTAATATCAGTATAGGATGAAAATAAGCTATATCAGGCTAAGAAGTATTCCTCTATTGAAGAAACATAACCAATGACTTTACTGATACTACCTTGAGATTCCTGATGCCTTAATTAGATGCTACAAGTAATTTGATGGTCTAAAATTACAGTTTAATTTCAGAATAACTTCATATGTTTACAGTTTTTTATTTTTGTCAACATATTGGTATCTTTGGCTAAAGATATTACCTTTTAAGAATAGAGTGTACAGCAGGAGGAGGTAAAGCTCTGAATGACTATTGTCTTGTAACCAAAATTCAATGTCAAATCCCTTTTTGCCAAGAGACCTATTTAAGTGGATGTTGACTGAGAATATTCAGGGAACACCCCTTAAAGGCACAAATGACTTTTCCTAAGATGGTGCAAAAAGCAGCCATCTGATATTTGACCTTGTGTGTCAAAATGCTGAAACGCTAATGGCCTGTCACCTTTCCCTTAAAACCTAAGACTATGATATGACATGACAGTTGTCCTCAAAAGTATCTTAAGAATAGGGACTGTACTTGTCACTTTTTCCCTTTCAAAGATAACGTTTTTTAAGTTTGCACTTTTGCCAAGAGTTTAATTAAAGTACAGAATAGAATAGGATAGGATTCTTTTTGACTAGATGATATTTACTAGTGTCATTTGAAATCCTGAAAGTATTGTATGGGGTCATTGTAACCTTGCAATGAGGATTGCCCTTCTAATTGGGGAATAAATGGGGTAATCACTTATGAGAGTTCAAAATTTCCTGTTAAGTGCAAACAATCACCAAAGAAAAAGGAAAAAAGGAAGGAAGGAAGGAAGGAGGGAGGAAGGTACGGAGGGAGGGAGGGAGGGAGGAAGGAAGAAAGGAGGGAAGGAGGGAGGGAGGAAGGAAGGAGGGAGGGAAGAAGGAAGAAAGGAAGGAAGGAAGGAAGGAAGAGAGGGAAGGAGGGAGGGAGGGAAGAAGGAAGGAAGAAAGGAAGGGAGGGAGGGAGGGAGGGAGGGAGGAAAGAGGGAGGGAAGAAGGAAGGAGGGAAGGAAGAAGGAAGGAAAGAAGGAAGAGAGAGGGAGGGAAGGAGGGAGGGAAGGAGGGAGGGAGGGAGGAAGGGATGGAGGGAGGGGGAGAAGGAGATGGTTGGAAATAAAATAAACATGTGTGTGTGCACACGCACATGCGCATGTCACTAGAAAATGAGCAAGAGACCTCTCTAGTGTCAAGCACACACACCATTGAGTTGTATTCTCAGCTTGAAAAATAAATTTTAGACCAACACTCAATCATGTAGAAATGACCGAGGGGAAAATACAAGAACATAATTAATTGTTTCCTTGGGGCTTAGTTGCTCACACATTATTCATCTAATTATCATAAGTCTTGTTAATATCTACTATTAAAATCGTGTATTAGGATTTTAAAAGCATCTCAAAGGCAAAGAATGAATCTCACATAAACTCATTTTCATTATTTTCCAATTTTCTTACTAATCTAAGTAGAGCCAAATCTTGGACACTGGAGTAATTACATAATTGGATTGAAGAATTATTTCTTGCTAAGCATTGTTAGATCACTCCTGTAATCCTAGCTACTCAGGAGGCTGAGGTCTGAGGATCATAGTTTGAAGCAGCCCAGGAAAGAAAGTCCAAGAAACCTTATTTTCAATTAACCACCAACAAGCTGAGCATAGGGCTCTGGCTCTACTGCTAGATCACTAACCTTGAGCAACAAAGCTCAAGGATAACACCCAGGCCCTGAGTTCAAGTCCCAGGATAAGTGCACGTGAGCGCACACACACACACACACACACACACACACACACACACACACACACACACACACACACACACACAGAATTGTTCAACATACTTGTCCTTTCTTGAGTTCTGAAATTGCTCATTTAAATTAAACATTAGTTTGGGTCTTTCCATTCTGATTCTGATGCAAATTTTTTTTTTAAAAAATTGAGTCATATGGGTTAGAGATCCTTACTAATGTAATTTATTAAGAGTTTAATAGGTCTCAATCAGGAAGTTTTATTTCTGAGTCATTTCAAATCCTTAATGTCATCTTATTTACAAAATACTTTAAAGTTCAAATTAAGCCCATGATGAATTATTTTAATTTTTGACAGCTTACATGAAAACTGTATGTGCTGTTAGAAGATTGGGATTTAGGGGGAAAAAAAGAGTCAAATAGACTATTATTCATTACAAATCTACTTTTGACAGAGCTCCATGAAAGATGGTACTATAATAGCCTATTTCAAATTATATAAAATATTCTCTTTTTTAAAATATGTATATGTCCAAATATTAAGGAAATACTTTTCATGAAGGTTTCTCACAAAAATACTCTATAGATGGAAGTGGAGCTGTGGCTCAAGTGGTAGAGGGCTTGCCTTGAGCTGAAGAGCTCAGGGACAGCGCCCAGGCGGAGTTCAAGCCCCATGACCAACAACAACAACAACAAAATACTCTCTAGAGAGTACCCAATAAAGAGTACTCAAAAAAAGATAATACTTTAAAATGTTAAAAAAAAATACTCAATAGAATGCACTTACTAGAGAGTGTATGGTATATACTATAGCACTGAGTATTAGTATATAGTATACACATAGTACATCGAGTATACAATATAGTGTATAGATTATAGGGTGTAAACAGTTGTATATAGAGTATACATAGTGATTAGTATGTTAATTTATGCTCTTTAGTCATTTTATGACATATAAAAATTTAAACTACTCTTGAGCCAGGCACCAGTGGTTCATGAATCCTTCTTACTCAGGTGGCTGAGATCTGAGTATCAAAAGTGGAAGCTAAACAGGGCAGAAAAGTCCATATGACTTTTATTTCTAATAAATCAGGAAAAAGGCTGTAAGTAAAAGTATGATTCAAGTGGTAGATTGCCAGCCTTTATCAAAAATCCAAGAGACAGGTCCTCAGCTCTAAGTAAAGTCCAAGTCCTGGCACAAGAAAAAGTCTTCTGTATATCAGAAATCTAAACAATTTAATTTGCCAATTATGTCTTAATAAAATGGGGGAGAAAACACAGAGATCTCTGCTTTACTCAATGCAGAGAAAAAAAATGAAGAAGCTTGTATTTAATGAGGTACATATAGGATCACAGAATTTTAGAGCAGTTTGACACCTCAAACCTTTATAAATATTAATTCAATTTTTATTACAACTATACATATTAAATGCCTACTTTGAGCAAATGCAAAAATAATTTTTCATCCACTGATTTAATTTGACCCACACAAATATAGCTGATATTTAAGAAGGAACTTTTTAATTGACTCTGTGCCCCTTCACAATTTTGTCTCTAAATATAGATCTTGCTTAAAATAACAGGTAATAAAATTATATATTTCTAGTAATTTCAAATTTGGGGCTTTTCTTTTCCTCATAGATAAATTACCTGGAAATGATTGACCGTTTTCCTAGATAACAAACATGAGTCTCTAATTCAGACTATTTACAACGGCATTTGCCATATCCTGTTTGATACGCTGTGCCCCTTCCTAAATTTAGAATTCATGACTCTTTGTACTCTGATTGTTGTTGTTCAATCTATAGCCCCAGCTACATTTCCACCTATAGCTCCTTTCTAGGTGCAATTATTTTAAATCTTTATAACAAGGAAAGGGGGAAACAGGTTAAACCAAATCTAAAGTACTATTTAGTAATACAAGAAGTATGGCATGGCTTAATAAATCTCTCTAAACCTCAGTGTCCCTATCTACCCAATAAACATTAGTCAGGTCATTAAACAAGTATATTTGAGTATTGAACATTATAAAGATAGATGATAGATAGATAGATAGATAGATAGATAGATAGATAGATAGATAGATAGATAGATAAATAGATAGATAGACAGATTCCTAAGTTAAAGTTCAGGAGGCTGGTAAGAATGAACAAAAGGGATGTGACATATTGCCATCCATCCCATTCATCTTGAGTATTAAAAGGAATGTCCTGGGGGACAAAACATCTCATTAAGTCTTGAAACAGGAACTATTTCAATGTCTACACAGTTTCTGAATGTTGAAATAAGGGAAAGAGTGAGGATATAGAAAGTTGAAACTGCATAGCTGAAAGGGGGACTTTCGATTGGCAAGTAAGTCTTAGATTAGACAATAGAATGTGTAAGAATGAATCTAGAAAGTCAAAAATAAATTCAGGCTGGGTCAGGGTGAGGTGATGCTAAGATTATTTTGTAAACACTCCGAGAAAAGTGTTAACAAGGCGGTAACATAGAACCGGTTGTGAAGGAAATCACTGTAGCTAAAGCACACTGAATGAATTTTAATGATGAGGAGAAGCGGGAATTCAAGGCCGCGCCATTCATCCAGGTAGATGCCACGCTCTGAGGAGCACAGTGGTAATACTCATGCAAGAAGATTTAAATTAGCTCTGACTCAGTGACTATTGGATTGTGAAGCTGAATGGTAAGGAAAACCTGTGTCTGGCCACAACCCGCAAGCTCCCAAACATAAGAGAGAAAGAAGGCCTGGGAAATGAGAATAAATAACGAGTTTAGTTTCAAACATGTGGTATTTTGGATTTCAAAAGACCAACACTTCCTACAAGCAAATGGATCAGTAAGCTTAGAGAGGGATAAGCTGAAGACAGAGTTAACTTAACTACAAAATATTGCCTGTCTTTGAAGATGAAAGTAGAGATTAAGTCAGATAGTGTGTGTCATGTACAATAGTAAATCGCACTGCACCATAAATACAATAAATCCGATGGTTTATTTAAGTACCTCCACTCAATAAATGTAGTTTCTATTCTATCTTGGGCAAAATTATCAAAACAATCTCTGTATTTACACAGAGCCTGAAGTTAAAGCTCTAGCTTAACCTAACAGGCTCTCTCTGGGTTTCACAGAAAGCTTAATAAGCAGACTGTCAATCTTCCAGCTCGTTCCTCTCTAATCACTGAACTGTTAAGGAGCTGTCTTAATAGCCTATATTCCTCTAGCTATAAGCAAACAAGCCTCTGCTTGCTAAAAAGCCATCCGGTATGCAAAATCCTTTGAGGGATCCTAAAGAAACAGCTCTCGCTCAGAAAATGTAATTTCTAAACCCACAAATAGAAAAGTGAAAATAATATAACTAACAATGGATTAATTGAATTTTCAATTCCACCTAAAGGATACAACTTCTGACAACAATCAGACAGAAAAGGAGGCAGCCGGAGGGAATGGTGGGTTTCCTTACTAAGTTTCTCAATTCTTCTTCCCTGAGACCGTACAAAGGGAGGATTCACCAAGGTAGATCAGAATATCAGAACCATTTTTTAACCACTTAAGCCATTTTTTGATAACTTCATTCATTTTTTTTTACATTTTCCCATGTAAGTAATCTTAAAAAAAAAAAAGCAGCTTACATTTGATATGAATTTTTCACTCTGGCTATCTAAAATAGCTAAATAAAATTGTGTCTCCAAGTTTTGACTTATATTAAGTTCCTTTATTTAATGTTCAGAATTTAAATCATAATCAGCTGTTTTGTCGTGATAGTAGAGATTCAATGTATTCATTCCTGTGGCTTCATTACAGCAATCTTCAAGCCATAAACTGTTGGTCTGGTTATAGGTTGGTTATAGACTAGGGCTGTGCAGAAACAGAGTCCTTAAAGCTGAGGATATTTGAATCCGTGCCAAATACAATCATCAAATTGACACTTTCTCCCCTTAGTACCAAACTAACCTCAAAAAGCAAAGCAATGTGTGACTCAACAGTTGCCAGTCTAGTTCATTTCATGAGAAGCTATTTTTCCTATGGTGGACAAAAATCCTCAAACACTACACTCTGGCTTCCTAGGTATAAACATCTAATGTAATACTAACTCGAGACCATTCAGATCACAATTCAATCCTCAGTCACATAGAGTAAATTACCTATTAGGATAGATGTGCTGAACAACTAAATATATGAACAATGTATTCTCAAATATCGAACACTTTTGTTTTCCTGGTGCTCACGCAGTGCCATAGAAAAGGCCTTGTTTATGATCCCTTATGTTCTTTCAGTATGAAGTAAGGAAAAGAAAGCAATGTTCCTTGTAATGACATGGAAAAGCAGCTCCTGGAGAAGCACAGTGATTTGTAAAAGGCCTTGCCACTGAAGGAAGATGAGAGCACCAGCCAGTGAGCCATTTCTCTCCTTGGCTGCACTTGAAATCAGAGAGAGAAGAAAGGCTGGGTTTCCTTTGAAGTTGAAGAAATACACCTTACATGTTAAGAATTCATTGTCTTTAAGATTTGGGAGGCTTTTTGGAACTCAAATCATGGTACTGTTACATCTTTATCTGCAATTTTTAGAGCAAAAGTCCAATTCCCAAAGCCAGAAGAAAGCCCAGTAGCACTTTTCAAAGTCACTCATGCAATATGTTTGAACCATATTTTTTTACTCACTAACCTATCAGTCAATCCCTCCTAGAGTTTCACCCATGTGAACCAGTAATAAGAGAATGACTCAATCAGCCAAGATTTCTTTATTCTTCTTTTAGATTTCGATTCAAATAAAAGCATTCCCGTAACTCTATATACCACATATCATACCTTTCCCAGCCTACCACCAGAATTGTCTTCTTCAGAACCAGGATCTGTGAAATATCGACAGCACCATCTTGCCTGACATTTAGTGTGTGGTGACAATGTCCATTGAAATCCCACACCTTTAAAAGAAAAGTTAAAACCAGAAGTGAAAAATGTCTTCAATGAGTTCAACAACGTAGCTATTTTAAACTTGAGCATTTACATTCTGAACTGGGATTGCTTCTGTTAGGTTACAGAATAATCAAAGAAATTGTGTTAAATATTTGAGTTTATTGTATTTATTACTCTAACACTGATTAATGACATATATGATATTATATGTGTGTATGTCAGACTCTATTGGTAATTACATTGTTGTATTCTACCAGTAGTTAATTCAAAGATTTTAAATTTGTGTTTGTTTTAAGGAAGGAGATGAGATAAGGTGGAGTCTGTTGAGAGCTTGTTTCTTTTCCTTATTTTCCTCACTCCTCCTGGCCCTGGCTTAGCAGAGTCCAGATGTAGCACAGACCCTGGGCAGCAAGCATCGTGTTCTACTCTCTCATCTTCAGGTTGCACCTCCTGCTGGCACAGAGGGCCAGCTAGCTAGCTAGGCCTGGTCCTACATGAGCAGGTGGGTCTACTACCTTTTTGGCTCAAGCAGTGAAGACATAGGATGAACGGATGCAATGTATGACTGTGTTATTTGGTTAGCCACAGCTCACATGAAGCCTCACTATAAAACATGGCTGTCGCTTCCTGTGCAGAGGAGAAGTTTTCATTATTTCATTAGTTCAGAGTTAAAATGCACATTCCCTTTGCACTCAGAAGTCCAACTTTTAAAAACCAGTCCCACCATGGATACATTCACTTGTGTGAAATGGAACATTTTCAAGCGCATCTTCTGGCGTTATTTACAAAGATCAAATTTTTGAATCAATCTAATTGCTTATTAGGAAGGAAGGGAATAATCAGAGTGTAGAATACTTATGGGGTCACATATAAGGCTGCCATTACAAAAGGTGAATTGGGAGCTGGGAATGTGGCTTAGTGGTAAAGTACTTACCTAGCATGCATGAGGCCCTGGGTTTAATTCCTCAGTATCACATAAACAGAAAAAGTCATTAAATAAAAATAAAGATGAATCAGACTGTAGGTATTGCTCAGTTATAGCTAATATATGCACTATAGGCGAGGTACATGGTGATTTCATAGCCAGTATCATAAAGAAGAAAAAGAAGGAAGAAGTAGAACAGGAGGAAGAAGAAGAGGAGGAGGAAGAGAAGGAATCCTCTTCGTATTTCTACACTCTGCCCAAACTCAATGCATTCTGCTACTTAGAGCTAAGTTGTTTTACTTCTATGAGCTTTAGCTTGCACTTTGTAAAATCAGGAAATAACCATGCCAATCTTATAGATTAGATGTGTGTGTGTGTGTCTGTGTGTGTCTGTGTGTGTCTGTGTGTGTCTGTGTGTGTCTGTGTTTGTGTGTGTGTTTAAGTACTTAGAACAGTGTCTGGCTTCATAGGAAGCACACAATGAAAATTACTTAACATTATAATTTTACACATTTCTCCGAATCAATGTCCAGGAGATGGAAATATGAAGTGCAGACTAGCAGAGTTAGCAGGCTGCCATCCCTCATGCTCCTGAGCGAGGAAAATGCACAGGAAACCACTAGCAATAGCACCTCAGGGGAGGGGTTGGAAACAGGATGACAAAAAGCCTTTGTTTTTACAGTACAGCTCTCCTATATTTCATTTTTATTGTATGCATGCATTATTTAAAACATTCATTTGAAAACAGATCCTTCAAAAACATGATAAATCTGTCCATAATTTTAACCCTTTGGTTACACAGGCCCTGATTTGGGATCCTAAATTATACATGAGGTTAGAAAATGTCATTCATTCTTGTTTCCTCATAGGCTATGGCTAGAGCAGCTCAACCCTTATTTATGTGTCCTACATATGCAGAGGTTATCAGATCCCAGAATTCTGTTGTGCTACTGTGATAAAGATAAATACCGCCCTTCAAACCCAGTGCTTAGCTGGGAAGTTGGCTCAGTGGTAGAGCGCTTGCCTTGCATGCATGAGGCCCTAGGTTCGATTCCTCAGCACCACATAAGCAGAAAAAGAAAGCCGGAAGTGGCGCTGTGGCTCAAGTCGTAGAGCGCTAGCCTTGAGCTGAAGAGTTGAGGGACAGCACCCAGGCCCAGAGTTCAGGCCCCACAACCGGACCAAAAAACAAAAAAAAACAAACCCAGTGTTTATTCTGATAGAATTCACCTTACCCTAAGAAATGTCCAGATGTGTGCTGAGAATTTAAGGATGAACATGCTACTGTCCATGCTACTTTGTTTTCCTCCACATTGTTCTTACCAAGTTTATGTAAAATGATTTCCACAAAGAAGTATCTGATGATCTTAAGTTCTTCTAAGACCTTGGCTGGGAATAGTAGCAACAGCTACTGTCTGGACCTTAAGCTGCACTCTAAAACCAGTTCCTTTCCAAGGTGAGTCTAATGGGACCTAATCCATTTGCTTAGTCGTTTTGACTTCCATCTCACATCCCAAGACTGAGGGGTGAGTCATCGGTGGAGACATCGTATAATTCTCCAGTTCCAGAGACACAGTTAGATATTGTTCACAAATCTAACCGCTCCCCATAAACTGTTTTACTACACCAAATTTCCCACTTCATACCTCATTCCTTTAGCTTCACAGGACCAAGTCTAGTGCTTTCCAGAGATTCTCACTTTTGAAATTCTCCCCTTAGCTCTTCCTCACACAAGTGGTTACCAACCTGGAATTCACCTAAACACTTGCCCCAAGTCCCAAGATATGATAACAACACAGCCACATGGCTTTCTGTGACCTCTTGAAGAATGAAGAAGAGTGTCATGTATAGCATCATTTCAGATCGCAAGACTAGATAGTATTAAACCTAGATAATATCTAGCCTTGCGTGAAAAATGTCATTCCTCTACAAACTAAAGTATTACCATCCTCTCAGAAGACATAAATTATAGCTATACAAAAAGGAAACTGGAAGCAATAAGATAATCTTAGTTGGGGATGGGTGATAATACTAATTATCCATTGTTACTATATTTATTATTCATATTTGTGACTTTTCACTTCCTCAAAAGCAAAAAAGCAAAGGATTCAAGGTTCGTATTTAAGTGTTAATTTTCTGAAAAATGTGCACCTATACTTTTTTTAAAAACACAACTGATGTAATTTCCATAATTACTCATTTCAGAGGATTAGGAAGCTAAAGACAGTAGCCAAAGCCTTTGAAAATGAATCAAGGCCCCTCTACCCTGAGAAAGGCTTTGTAAAGTGAGCATCTGTACCCTCATCTCCAACTAGTTACTCATAAAAAAGTCATTTATTTATTTTATTTTCCACTAAGGTTTACTTTTCCAGCAGCTTTGTTATTAGATGGTGTAAGCATTCAGCTCTAGTGTCTGAGCTCTCACAAGACCATAAGACAAGACAAAAAAAAAAAAAAAAAGTGAAATCTGTAAGCTGTGTTTCCTCACAGAGGCTGCGCATCTCCTCCTATCTGGGAAGGAAAAAGCCTCATTCCATTCGCACCTTCACAGTCCCATCTGTGCCGCCAGTCAAAAGCCGCGTCTCATTTGCATCCTGGGCCATAGTGCTGATTTCTGCGTTGCCATGACAACCGGTAAACTGTTTGATTTTCTGCCCGGTATCTACCATCCAAAAGGAAACAGCAGACCCCACATCAGCACTGATTACCTAAGAGAGAAAATAACATTGTCGAGAAATTAGAGTCCCAGAATCCACCATATTCTATTTGTTTCAATAATAATAATAATAAATCTAACAGTGACCTATGCACTTCCACGGCTGAAAGCCCCAACAGTCATGTATCTGTCATATGTTTTCTTCCTTTTCTCTTAAGCTGGTCACATTTCAATGTCTAGATCACAGCTGAGGTAAGTAAAGTTATGATTGCCTTTATCAGAGAACATGCTCCTCTTCTTCACCACCCGGCTGAGTGTCTAGAGGCTCTCCCGAAATCAATTCCTACCAGAAGTAAACTCATAAATCTTTCACATTAAGATGAGAAACTATATTTTCCTAGTCGTGGGGCCCTGGCATTATTTGTTCTGTGAAAAGAAACATTTTATGACACTTCAATTTGCATTCAGAAAAGAAGTACTACCAGCCATTATGGAGGAAAGCTAATTTCCACAAATGTTTAGAGTTATTGCTTTTTTATGACATTATTCCCTTGCTTGATTTCTCTTTTTCTCAAGCTTGTGTGTGTGTGTGTGTGTTTGTGTGTGTGTGTGTGTGTGTATGTGTGTATTCACACATACATACATATACCTATATGACCACTGAATACAGTTGTTGCTGGGTAGCTAAACACAAACGAGTACAAATCTACATAGAGGCTTCAAGAAGGCAACAAAGGAAGCATTAGAATAGGTAGGCTTATATTCAGCACTCTGAAAAGAAGAACCTTTTTTTTTTTTTTCACAATCCAACAATAGCAACTGCTGACGTTTATTGGGTGATTTCCCTCTGCCAGACGCTTCTAAAGAGCTTTACATATATTACCTCATTTAATTCCCTTGGCTGTGCTTTGAAATCAGAACCATTATTATGGTCTTCTAAAGTACAATTCTCTTTCAACTAAATCTTGAGAAGACTTTTATAATGGCAAGTAGCTTGCTCATTTTGGCTGTGGGTATTTAAGACCCCTTTGGTAGGAAGTTGTTTGAAGTAGCACCTGGAGTTTTGAGAAACCAAAGTATTTTCTTCTGCGTAGACTTTTCTTGTCATTTGGGAAATGTGGATTCATTGAAAGTATGTTCCACTTGAATGTTGCATTTTCTATGCCAATTGAGTTGAAGTTTATCAAGTTATCTGTGCAGGCCTAGATAGCTGACCAGTGAGTGGAAGCAAGCTCTCTGTATACTTAGGAACATTTGGTCCATGACAACATCATGATGTCTGTGGTATTTGATAAATCTCAGCTGTCAGGGGGTCTGGGGTCTAGAACTGTACAGGAAAACAACCCAAGGAGCTTCAATTAGCTTCACCACAAGCCAGAGTAGAAATATTATTTCATTGGATCAAGCAAGGATATTGGTAAGAACTCTGAAAGTTAGTCCAAGGTACAGCCTGAACTAAGAGTTACTGGGTTACACATGGATACAGGAACAAGGCTTCCAGGGTAGAGATGTGTCCTTGAGTGTGCAAGAACCCAGAAATACAATCCAGAAATCCAGCCGGTGGACTGGATGGTGGGGATAAAGAAGCAGAGGAGACAGAGGCAAGTCCTGTTTCACATAGAAGGCTGTTGTGGAAGATAGGAACATGTATTTATGGAATGCCAGTCCATTGCATTGGTTATTTCATTTGATCTTTACAAAAACTCTCAAGCAACATTATGCCCATAATTTTGCCAATGACTCTAGTCAATTAAGTACTGCTTTTCAGCTTCTGGAACTAGTTTTGAGAGCCTGAACGATAACCATATTATAAACTTTACCTTTCCCATAATATGGAAGTCAGTTAAGGGTCATTTACAAGAGAAAAGGACTTGGATAATATTCTAAGCATGAGAGACAATAAAGTTCAAGGAGCCAGGCACTAGTGGCTTACTCCTGTAATCCTAGCTACTCAGGAGCTGAGATCTGAGGATCACAGTTTAAAGGCAACCCAGGCAAGAAAATCCATGAGACTCTTAACTTCAGTTAACCAGCAAAATGTCAGAAGTGAAGCTATGGCTGAAGTGGTAGAGACCAGCCTTGAGTGAAAAAAAAACTAAGATACAAAGTTCGGACTGTGAGTTCAAGCCCCAGTACTGGCACATACATGGGTGCACACACACACACACACACACACACACACACACACACACACACACACACAATCTAAGAAATGGGGCAAGCTGGAGAAGGAATTTTGGAAATCACTAGTGCATAGCTCCAGAGAATATTGAATGAGAGAGAAATCTAATTTCACTTGGTGAGGATCTATAAATTTCCTTGATAATCATTGGAGTCATGGTTAATGGGAAAGATTAAAAAACAATATCATGATTCTGAATGAGGCAAAGAGTGTCACAGAAATTATATTGGCTGTCTGAGAAGATACTTCCATCAGTAGTGTAAAGCACAAAGACCATCTAAAGACCAGCTGAAGTGGAGGTAAGAGATTCTTAGCTGATCAAGTAAATCCAGAAGCTTAAGGAAAAAGAGATAGTATTTATCACTAGTTATAAGCATTTATGTTCTGCAAAGAACCAATAATGAGCACATGATCTTGGTTAGACCTTTTCCCTCTGAAATTACAACTCTGATGAGAAAAAAATTCTTAACTCGTTAAGCTCTATGTGCACTGTACCTTTTCTCTCGGTGAAATCAAAGTAGCTCAACTATTTCATTATCTTTGTTAAGCCATGGTGTAATTTCTAAGATGAATGAACTTGCATCTTCGCGCTAATGTGATCTAACACTTTAATTATCACCTCGTGTGGCTGAGCTGATTGTGTTTCCAGTTGGTTTTGTTTGTGCAACACAGAGGGCAGTGGATGCCCTAGCCTAGATGCCTCTGCTAAGCTGTCAGCTGCCTGACCAACTGATCTGGTCTGGTCTTCAGCACTGAGGTCAGGCATGTTAATTAACCTCCCTATGCCTCAATTTCCTCATCCATAAACCAGGGCTAATTATGGTAACTAGCTCATCCCCTCATTATGAGGTTTAAAGAAGCTAAGATTTTTAAACCATTTACGATAGCATTAGAGAAACCATAAAATTTACTTGGAGTTCCTATTCTATTTAAACCATGTGTCATCTCTTATTCAGATTCATATAACTTTTTATTTTTCATTTTATTTGCCTGATTTCTGTATGTATGTGTGTATATATGTATGTATATATTTATGTATGTGTGTATATGTGCATGCATAGATATATGTATAGATGTGTATGAATGGATAGATGTGTCATGTGTAGATGGATAGATGCATGCATGTATGTATGTATATACTGCATGAATAGATGTATATATTCATGTATGGAATGATATAATTATGTGTATATACATGTCTATATGGATATATAGATGGATGGATGGATGGATGGATATATGCATGGATCGATGGATATGTGTGTCTGTGTGTATGTATATATGTATGTATTTTTGATAGTACCAGGAGTTGAACTCAGAGACTCACATTTGCTCAGCTTGCTTGCTTATTTGGCACTCTATCACTTGAGCCATGCCTCCAGTCCTGGCTTTTGCTGCTTAATTGGAGCTAAGAGTCTCATAGACTTTTCTGCCAGGGCTAGCTCTGAATCTCAATCCTCATGGTCTCAGCCTCCTGGGTAGACAAGATGGCATGTATGAGCCTCTAACACTCAGCTTTTATATTATTTTTCAAATTGAAATTAATTTGAGAAACTAAGATTTTGATTTCTTTTAACCATAACAGTGAAGACAATTACAATCTTAGAAATCAAATTTTTTTGGATATACATTGAAATTTTACATTATTTCATACTTTTAATATCTTAGATATTTGCTTAGGGGTTAAAAGCAAATGCATGAAAACATAACTTCCTAAGCATATCTGAAAATTCTGCTCATGGTCTTTTAAGAAAAGATGAAAGGTTGTAATGGATTGTATTCCACTGTATTCCAAGTAAATGCTTCCAAAGTATTTACTTAGTAACTGTTCTCTACTATGCACTTCAGTACTACACAATATGTATCCTCCAATAAAAACACAAGAGCAGTCTAAACATTAAAATGCCACGTTCAAAGGGAAAACTTGCTTACTTCTTCCAAGCTGGCCTCACCTTAAGCATCTGTCTGACTTTTATCTAATATAGACATTGGATCAAGACTCAGAATAGTTCACTTTCTGCCACTCTGCATTTTACCTCCCTACACACCTGGCTGACACCCAACACACGATTCATCAGTTTTCATCTCCTTTCTCTGTTCATTGAACCATCTCTCATGAAATCTGAATCCATAGTGACAACAGCGGATAGCCAGTCTGATTTCATTTTATGGAAATCTGCCTTCTGGTCATGCTGTCTTCGGGAAAGCAATGTGTTGAAACTGACAATGTCACAAACATACAACCAGTGTCAAATGGAAGGGACCCTTACTATGACAATATTATGCCACTGTAAGAATAGCAATGCAGGGGGAAAGACTTCCAAGTGCAGCAAGAGTGGCGCAGCTAACAAAGACAGTGGTCTGACTACTGGCCAGTGGCGAATTTAATTTTAGCAAGCTATTTTTATCAGTAATAAAGGCCAGAATAAATATATTGGCAACACACCTACGCATCACAGTTTGATGACCCCGAATTCTTGTAAGTGTGTGGTTTATTGCAGGCTGTCTCTCTTCAAACTCAACCCCAGAGAATGAAGGACAGGACCTCAATAGTTTGCATAACAGAAAGCCAGTGTCCTAATAAGCACATTCTAGAGCAAAGGGACCTCAGGAGCCATCGCTTTCTGATGGTAACCTTTCCATTTTAGGTATTGGAGATAATAACTTTAATAATTTTTTGTTGTTGTTGTTGGTCATGGGGCTTGAACTCTGGGCTTGGGCGATGTCCCTGAGCTCTCCAGCTCAAGGCTAGCGCTCTACCACTTGAGCTACAGCGCCACTTCTGGTTTTCTGGTGGTTTATTGGAGATAAGAGTCTCACGGACTTTCCTGCCCAGGCTGGCTTTGAACCACGATTCTCAGATCTCAGCC